AATAATTATCAAAGACATGGTTCTATAGCAAAAAAAGAAAACATTATGAAAGACATGGTTCGAATAAACAACGGACAATGATCGTGTCTTTGAATTGAAATTGTAGGATAGGACAGCTCGAATAAACATTTTTTTCAAAAAGCAAGTCATTACGATTTTGAAAATTGCTTTAATGAAACCAGTGTATGAGGAATAAACGCGACCCAAAAAAATCAAATTGGAAATGACAAAAACTAATTAAGTACCTTTTTTGAAACATGTTGCACCGTTTGACCGACTCGTTTCCCTTCTTTAGTTTATAATGTTTTTCTTGTCGTCCTCTATAAAAACTGTCCCCTGCCTTCTTCTTTAGTGAAACAAGTTTCCGGAGACAGAAAAAGTTAATAACAGCAAAAGTTAATTACACAGAAACTTAATATTTACTTTCTAAAAATGTACTCTGCCAAAGTGATATCATTGCAATTGAAGGAAGTGGAGAGGAAAAGCAGTCCATGTTTCAGTACAGGTATTTGATGGTTCATTTGAAAATAGGGGATTAGTTTAGTTTTAGTTTTTCAGGATCGGTCTTTTACATCGTCTACCTAATTAGTGTTTTGCCGATTTCATTAGGACCTGTGGATGAGGACTTGTATCACTGGGAAGCTATCATAACGGGGCCTAAAGGTTCACCCTATGAGAATGGTGTTTTCAAACTAGACATTCACTTTTCGCTTGACTACCCTTTCGCGCCTCCTAGGGTAAGGATTGAAGCATATCATTGCTTTCTCAAATTGCTGTATTTTTAGGGTTTAGGATTTAGTCAATAAAGATTTCAATTACTAATAACACTGATTTTTTTTCAGGTGATGTTCAAAACAAAAGTCTATCACCCAAACGTTACAACTTATGGGAACATTTTTCTGAAGATGTTGAACCCAACTCACTTCAGTACCAACAACAGCATCAATGATGTATTTTTACATATGAAAGAAATAAATCGTTATTGTGTTTTATGGAATATAATATTAATTCCGTTTAAATAAGGGATTAACTGTGTTTACATGTATATGTAATCAGGTACTGACGGAAATACACCAAATGTTAACTGCCCCACAAATACGAACCCGTATACCAATGTTAGTGTACGTTTACGATCCCGTATAGATGTTAAAATTTTTATCTTAGATGTTCGGCAGAACGCTTTGCAAAAATGCTTTAGTATCAATGTGCTATTGTTAGATGTTGTGGTTATTTTCAAAAATAATATGAAGTTTAAATACAGCCTTATGTCCAAAAATTGTTTACAATCCCGTATACCAATGTTGGTGTACGTTTACGAATCCGTATACCAATGTTGGTGTACGTTTACGAACCCGTATACCAATGTTCGTGTACGTTTACGATCCCGTATTCATCGTTCTTTAAAAAGGTGTAATGTTACTTTATTTTCAACCTGTAGGTGTACGTCTATAGGTATACTGTAATAGGTATACATAAATAATTACAGTGAATAGGTATAGTGTAATATGTATACTGTAATAGGTGTACATAAATAATTACAGTGAATAGGTGTACATAATTAATTACTGCCCTAGACGAAATGAAATCCTGGCACTTTCATTTATGTATTTCGAATGGCTTAATTCTCCATATTTTATGTAAATGGTAAGAGCTATGATAAAATCAACATAAGTACTAAAAATATCATAAATCAACATAAATACTAAAAAACGAAAGCAGACAAGCAATTTCAAAAACATCAGTTGTAGTTCGAAACACTAAGACAACATAAATAATTAACGACACACGAATGCAACCAAATACTAAGATTACGGCTTTCACCAATCGAGCATGACCGGCCAGCTTGGAACGATGTTCCTAATGAAGCGGAAGAACCTTTGGGTCTCTTGGACCCAGAAACAGGTTGTGCACTTTGGCTGCTTAAAATCTTTTCTAAACCACTGGAGCCGGTAATTGATAACCCCGCACTGACAGGTGTACAGCGCAAGGAATCTCGGATGAAAGGCAGCCGCTTTCTCAGTGAAATCCACTGGCAAATCGAAATTCCATCCATGTGGAACATCGGCCAGCAACAACCGGCTCAACCTCCACCGGTTTTGCACCGTGAGCCTGCCCAAATACTCCTCTGCATGGACGAAGTCTTCCGGCACAGCTCTGAGCCACATCCCGTACACAAAAAGGGCTCGGTCGTAGCCTCCCTCCGCAGCAACCCTTATCAATTCCACGCCTTCACCATCGTGGAAGAAAAAGTAGGCTTGCATCCCTCTGTCGAAAATAACCCCTGGATTACCCGCGTCATAGAATCTCCTCATCATTGCTGGGTAATGTGGAACCGCCGCTGGTTCATGCACGATTTCGGCGGGATTAATGGCTCGATAGAAACCCCTGCTTGTGCCGATACGGTTGAAACGAGAACAAACAGCACGGAGGCGGGCTATTTCCCTTATAGTTGGGTTTGTAGCGGCCAGAATTTGTTCCAGCAATTCATCAGGGAGTGAGTGAAGATAGGAAAAAGCACCATCACCACCTCTGTTTCTCCTTCGAACCATCGTTTATTTCGGTGAAAAGAGAAAAGATAAGAAAATGTAATGAGGAAGAAGAGATAGGATTGAAAATGGTTTGAAAGAGGAAGTTATGATGGTTCTAAGTAGGCAGTTATGGTGAAGGGATTGAATTTAAAGAGGTAGTAGTGCGGTTTTAATAGAGCCGAATAGATGTCTTTGAAGAGAGACGTTGAAAAGAGACAAAAATGTGTCTTTTCGTTTACCGCCAAAATTAAATTACCACAATAAATACAGAGAATTACCAAATAAAAGCAAATTTCACCATTAAACTTTTTATGATATCTGAAAAGAGACGAAAATGTGTCTTTTCGTTTACCGCCAAAATTAAATTACCACAATAAATACAGAGAATTACCAAATAAAAGAAAATTTCACCATTAAACTTTTTATGATATCTGAGACAATAGTATTAGTATACCACAATACATTTATGATATCTGACACAATACTATTAGTATTTATGATATTATCGAAATTTCATTAACAACCCAGCCCTTTTTGTATTTGTTGGAAACTAAATTTCTTGTCATCATTACAGACGTTTTCTCAACATCACGTTACCCGAGATATAGAGTACAGATTGTCCACATAAACGAAATCATGCATATTTTTAAAAATATGCGTACAGAAATAGGTAAGGTGAGACTTTTAATAAGTAATGTCGTTTGTATATCCATCTTCTCTGAAAATTCCCACAAAAGAGATAATGTCGTTTGTATACTCAAATATATAATATGTGATAAATGTAACATTCAGGTGTACAAATTTAGGTGTACATATTGAGGTCTTCTTTTTTTTTTTAGTTATTAGGCGTACAAAGAGAGTTAAACTGAGACTTTAAAGATACAAGAGAATGGTTCTCGAGAAAGTGAAACTACCACCCACCGAAATTAAACAAAGTCAACACAATTAAAGTATACATAGATAGAAAGGAAAACAAAGTACACCTACATACATACATACATACGTAGTAGGCCTAAATAAAAGATTAAATCATAAAGTACGAAATATGGAATCTAATCGATTACACACCAAGGTGTACACAACGCAGGTGTACACACCAAAAATGGTCACCATTCTTCCATTGACGGCCCAGAACGCGTTGCATACCAAACAAATACGAAGAAATTTTGCGTTTCTTGTGCCCAGAAACACGACGTGCACATGCTTGGCCCCTTTAAAAATTCATCATGCCAATCAAGTTGAGCATTGGCAACACCACAGCGACAAGACCAAAGTGTGGCAAACTGAGCATTAGTCTCAAATCTCCTCCTCGAAAACTCTTCAGGCAAATTAACATAACCACGCTCACCTCCATCAATAATTTTCCGAATTATTCTCCTCATTGCCCCCCTGCTTAGTTTTGAAAGATACTCTAAACCCACGGGGTCTTCGACCACTGCTTTCATGTACATGTCATACATGTAAATACCTGTTTCGTATCCCATATCTGCAGATTCCTTGATGAGTTTTATGCCACATTTGTCTCCACGGCAGAAGTAGTCTTGCATCCCCTTCATGAACAGCAAACCAGGATTGCGTGCGTCATACATCCTCCTCAACAAGTTGGAAAATTCCCAAAACGCGATAAAAGGCATATCGAAATCTTTGGGAATAGGCATCTCCAATTCCACGGGATCAACCGATGCGAGAAAATTTTTGGTTAAAGTGCAGGCCTGGAACCGTTTGCAAACTTGCTTCAATGTGAAAATTTGTTGGACGGAGTTGCAACTGTATGCGAGAACCTTCTCCAATAGTTCGTCGGGAAGCGCCATCAGAGGGGATTGACAATCACGGATATCCGCATCACATCGCCCTCTCTTTGGTGCCATAGTTAATTTGTAAGGTTCAATTGTGATGAAAACGGTTGTTTATGGAGATGGAATAACTGCGGTTTAGGATTTGTGAAGCGGAACGGTTCTTTATGTTGCATATATATAATAATAAAATAAGCCCACTAATTGAGTGTGTACATTAAATGCGGTTTCCGTTAAGATTGTAAATGAGTTTGTAAAATTATTGCATAAACCAAAAATTTCCTTGTTGTACACCCAGTTGATGTACACCTAAATGGATATTGGTGGTGTACAGGTACATATTTCGGCTGGAACAAAGTATTCATACACCAATTAATAAATACTAAAATAAATTGAAGTATAAACAAATTTTTCTTTATGTACTCCCATTTGATGCATATTGGTGTACAACTAAATGCTATTAGGTGTACGGAAACGCAATTATTAAAGTAAACTAAATTATAACCAAACTAAATAATTGATACACCATTTAATAGATAGTAAAGTAAACTAAAGTAAACTAAATTATAAGCATATAAATTATCAAATAAACCCACATCCTAAACATTATAAAACACATAATCCAACAAATAACCCTTCCTTAAATTGTCAAGTTCAACATTAAACTTCAACATTCGTCCTAAGCGTTGGCAATAGCCGGATTCCCGACAAACTCTTCGTATGAGTCGATGGCGTATTTCTCCCTTAACCTGTCAACGTCATCGTTCGTTATCAAAGCCATATCCTCCACTCCAAGCCCTGCAGCATGCATCTCTAAGAATTTGGCTGCACATGGCCCACAGTCACCGGATCTTTTGTTCTGATATATGCCCTCCAAACGACTCCATGTGTAAGGGGTGGTGCGTAGGCCTTCCGTTAATTTGCTATCCAAATAACGCTTCAATATAAATGGCATACTTTGACACACGGGCGCCATATACTGCTCCACAGCCGCTTCATCATTATGACTGATGAATGAGTCCAAAATCTTTATGTTGCCCGTTTTAAAGTCAATTACAAGGCCCACCCAATGCTCAGACCCCCAGTTCATCGGGACGTATACAATGTCCACAAACCGTATAAACATTTGCCTCTGCCGCTGATTAGCCCACTTTGCTGGTTTTCCCAATACAATGCCCTGAATGGTTTTCCCCCAGTCATACTGATTTTTGTCTCGCGATATGAAATCGTTGTAGTAGTTGCCGATGATGGATATGAACAAGGTGTCTACAAATGCTACCCTGTCTTTCAAGTAGATTTCCCCTCTACGTCTCCAAAGCATGGCCATTATGACTTGCATGTGCTGACGAATAACAAAACATAAATAACATATATTACAGATAATTAAAGATTGAGTAAGTACTAACTATAACTATATACTCACCATCGTGTTAACCCACTCAGTAGGCTTCGCAATTTGTAGGAAGAATTGATTGTTCACAGTATGACCAGTGACAATGCAAAAGTCGCTGTAATGAGAGCAATTGGTAATTGATTAGAATGAAAGTTTAAGGATAAATTGCTTTCAATACGATATAACTTACATGTTTCTTTCACGCGATAATAACTAGTGAAATGCCTTGAAGTGGTCTTGTTCAACGGTTTCGAGTGGTTTGTACGCAGCTTTCGATCTGGATACAAATAGAGCTTTCACCTTTGAATCAGCGGTGTAAATATCTCGAATCTTGTCCGACCGTACACGTGCGCGTTTTCCTCTACCTCTTCCTCCTCTTCCTGTTCCTCTTCCTCTTCCTCCTCTTCCTGTTCCTCCACTTTTTCTCCTTACACCAGACGATCCCTCAACTTCTTGTGGGGGGTTTAGGAGTACAAGGGGTCTTCTGCGAAGCATCACTTGCATCCTCAGGCGCAGTATGGTAATCTTTCCCCGTTAATGAGTCGTCCTCATTAGCCACAGCTTACAAACCACAGTAACAATAAAGCGTATAACATATCAATCGTATACCTAGCGTATACCTAAACACTACTGTATACACATCCATATCATATGAACAACTTTAATGTCTGACCTCTGCATCCTGCGCATCTGTCTGCGCTTCATGTTTCTTATATGCGTAGCTCAATGGGTGAGGAGTCTGAGGTTTGTAGACTACTAAGGGGCCTGACACCAAATTTGTTCTACCACCATCCACCTGAATAAGTCATAAATAACACAGCACAATACACCCACGTTATGAAACTTAATAGAGTCAGCTGCTGACTAAACAATTAGCTCACCTCGTTGAGGCCAGAAGGTGGATCTTCATCCAGAATGACGAAGTAAGGAGGTGGACGAGTTGTTCCTGAATTGGCTTGTCCCGGTTCAGGGGTCATCGTCGGAGCTTCTGGAGTCTTCAAGTACGCATGGTCCCTGGGAGAATAATGGTCCCCGCCGTAGTAAGTAGATGTCCCTTCTTCATCATCTCTTTCTTTCTGGTGTACACCATCTTCGGGGTGTACACCATCATTATGGCGTACGCTAGATTGTGCCCCATCATAACCTCCTTCTTCACCTCCATCTTCGGCTTCGTCTGCATCTTCATCCGGTTTTGATCCATCTTTTTTTGTGTGCTGTCCTTCGTCATCCTGTTCCCCTTCTTCTTTTGACTGGTGGACATCGTCATCTTCTTCGTCCTCTTGGTATACGCCCAATCTCTTGTTCAACTCGGTCTTAATGTCAGGAAGGAGCAAAGTATTCTGACGTACTATCCATCTTTTAAGCTCTTTAATCGGTCCACTTTCAGGGGATTCATCTTCCGATAGATTAGAAGAGTTCTTGCCCCTGCCTCTCTTCCTCTGCATGGGACGTTTTTCAGTTTGATGAGTTTTCTGTTTCTTCTTCGGTCTGGTGGATGGCTCAGGTTCCTGTGCATTGGTAACCTCGTCCTCTGCATCACTAATATCCACGATAGGGGCCGGTGCCACTGCAAAATCCGAAGGTGTGAATTTGTACCCCTCCGCCATGAGTTCCTGCATGAATGCAACTTTGGCATCCTCTACCTCATCTCCCCAACGCAATTCATTCTGTTGGTCATTCTCACCATCATCCAGTACCATCTGTTTCACAGACAACTAAGACAAAAAAATACAATTGCAAAATTACCAACCAAAATGACAGAGCACTTATCTTTTAAGACAAGTACTACAAAATAAGACTACAAATAGTACTAAATATAGTACTACAAATAATTTACCAGAGGGTCGGATTCCACGGCATGTATGTCCCCAAGATGCAACAGTGTGATAACGTTTTGACAGCCTTCGGGATCTTCAAGGAATGTCTTCAAGTTATCAGGTTGAGGAATTTTGGAAACCAACATTGGTATACATTGGAGGGCCATGAGTTGTAGTGATAGATGGAATCCATAGCATGCACTGGTTTTCTGTTTAAGTTGACGGCGTAATCGTGTTACAGGATTCTCCCTTTTCTCTGCATTCGTGATTGCCTTCGGAGCTTGAAAACGAGATACTGTTTTGTTAAAGGATACCCTCCCCCATGGATACAGCATGAACCTATCCAAGTCAGTCAGCATCTCAACGTATTTCTCGGTGAGGGCCAGATTTTTGCTATTGCAAAACAGAACACCGTCGACAAGAACGATTAGGGCCAATGGAAGCCGTTTCCAGCGGGGTAGATCCGGGTCCTTTAGCATTTCAAGCACATCAAACACGTTCATCGCCTTCGCTCTTCCGAACAGGTCTTTCCAGATTCCTGTTTTTCCGACATCTTCTTCTTCTGTGCTATCAGGTTCGGGATTGCAATTCAATCCAGTGATTTCCTTGAACTCCCGTATCGAATATCTCAGAGGTTGTCCACCGAAGAGGAACCAAATCTCGTGTTTCTTCGTGGTCACAAGTTGTCGTGATAGAAGGGCATAGACAAGTTTGGCGCTGTTGCAACATCTTGCAACAGGTAGATGGAATAACTTCCCAAACTGGGAATGAAGTAGTTTCTGAAGATCTTCAGTACCCTTTAATGCCTCGACAAGGAGGCCAATGACATTGGCCTTTGAATATATGTTCAACCGAGCACCAACGGGGTAGCAACCATCGCCGAGGACTCTTTTTGGTAGTTTTTCCGAAAGGTTATTTGAAGCTTCTCCATCTTCGATACCTGTATTTGAAGGTTCTCCGTCTTCCATACCTGTATTTGAACGAAAACAACAATTCCAAAATGCACGAAAAGATATAGTATTCTGGATAAACAGTAAAATGCGAACCCAGGGAAAATATTTGAGGAAAAGGAGTTCGAAGGAGTTCGAAAGAGAGAACAAAGATGTGGAAAAACTACCCTATTCGTATGGTCTCCTATAAAAACTTCTGTAACTGTTTCTAGATGATATAAGAGTAATCCAACCGTTTGAAATCAATATATAGACATAAGTACTACAGTTCATAACCGCCAATACATAAATCAAGCCAATCAGGCGCCCCGTTTCAATCTTAATCTTAATTTCAATCTTAATTTGAATTACAAACCGCCAGTACAGTTCAGACAAGGTCGAAGTTCATAAATGTAACTTACTTTTAGAATTCTGAGCAGGCCATTCTAGGAAAAGAGGAGCGAATTGTACTTTGGCTCTACACCGCCGGCGTGGATTCAGACGACTCGAGTGAATGGAATGTTCAACCCGGTCACTCCGTCGCGGTGGCATGGGCGGCGAGTGGTCTGTCGGAGCTGTCTTCGAGTTACTCCGGAGTGCTCGCCTCGAAACCGGAGGCACGGTGTTGTTCCGCGTTAACGATTTTTTAACTTTCCGCGCCATTACAACGGTTAATCGGAGGCTAATCAGAGCTGGATTGCCAGAGATGGTAGATAGACGACGTCCAGATGTGGATCCCAAATTAAATTTTTAATTTAAATGTTGGGGTGTCGATAAATTATACATTTCGTTTTACTTCGGTTTATGCTATTGGACTTCGGTTTCAAATTTTGTGTAATCGGTTTACCAAATCGGATTTAATCAGACATTTTTAGTTATTTTACTTCGATAATTGCAATTTAGAAAATAAAATTTGCCTAAGGGCCCTTGTGGGAATACAAACAGTAAAAATAGCCCTTTCCTTCTACGGTTTTCAAAACATCCTATTCCTCAAATTTAAAACTTAAAAACATCCTATTCAGCAATTTTCTCTTTTTTTTACTACTATGAGAATTTATGTGGAATGTGAGTTTTTAAGTCATTGTTAATCTGATTTATGGATTGTCCAAGACAAGGAAAATTATTTTTGGAGTTGCAGGAGTTTGTGCCCGTATGATGTTATTATTCCCTTTTTCAGACCAAATATGAGCTGATGTTCCATCTCTATTTTCAAGAATGAAGTTTCATACTCCAAAGGAGTTTGTTGACTTGTTTGTCCGTCCTCAACATAATGTCCATGACATAGGTGTTCTGTTTGTGATTCCAGATTTTGCCTTTTACATACCACCTTTATCATATGGAGAAGTATTATATAAGAGATAATTTGGAGAGAACCATCAAAACTTGACTATAGAATAAGTCTGTAAAGCCCGAAAGAAACACTCTTTAAATTTTGATATATTCTCTTAGAATATTTATTTTATATATTTAGGAAAGTTTACATTATGTAAGTATTAGCATTATATTAATGTTACTACTATATACAGTATATACATATATCTTATGATCTCATATTAAATATAACTCAATATTATATATCCTATTCTATAATATTTTAAATTAAGTTTTCTGAACTTTCTACTCAAAACTAATTGACAATAATAAGTGGATTAGTCCAAATTCTTTATATATTAGAATTGGTTTCTCTAAACTTCTGATGTGAATTTCTATCTATATTAATTTTGTTCAGTTTGCTGTAAATTTATTTGCTAATTAAAACTTAAGGTTGTGCCGAATAGTAGATGCAATTTTCTACTTTTCAAAGAATAAGATTTCAAATTGATTTGCAAATTAAGATTATACATAAAGTGTAAAATAATAATTGTGAAAATTCCTCAGACTAACCTTTAAGGTTAATGAAATGACAAACCTAACCTAACATATTGAAGGGCTTACTAGACTAACCTTATAAAGTTGGTTTAAGTCAATTTTATCCAGATGTTGAATATTATTACGAAAATGCCATTGTGATTTTTTTTTTTATAAATTTTTTTTTTTTCAAAAAAACTTTAATTTCGAAAAAAAAATTTTAAAAAATCGAAATTTTTTTTGACGAAAAAAAAAACATTTTTTTAAAACGAAAAAAAAAAAAAAAAAAATACAAAACCAAAAACTAAAAAAAAAAGGGAAACCCTAATTCATCTTCTTTTCTGTCTTTCTCCTGCGCCGTTTTTTTTCTCCCATGGAGCTGCTCTTCTTCTTAACCTTTTTATTCCTCTCTTGCTCTCCTCTTTATCTTTTCTTTTGTTTTGTTAAATTTTGTTGTATGAATATGTATTCTTTATGAACTTCAAAGCTTCGATGTTTCAGATCGAGAAAAACACAACTAGTTCTACCGATTTTTTGTATCAAGAAGCCTCCAACGTTTCCAAGCTCGGAGATCTAGATCTTCCCATGGTTTCTACAATTCATTCTGCTATTATGTGAGTTTTTTTTTCATTTTTTCGAATTCTTTGATTTTTTTCTAGATCTGGGTTTTTGGATCTAATATCAACAATAAACTATGGAGATGTGGCGGTTGGCGGTGACTCTTAAGCAGCATTCTCGCTGCGTCGCGCACAACCGCAGTGGATAGACGTTGTTTCGATGGAATGGTGGTGTTGTGGAGGTTGTCGGCGGCATAAATTTTTTTTTTCAGGTACGTTTGGTAGATATATTTGGAAATCGATTTTGTATTTTTTTGGTTGTAAAGTTCATAATGTGTGATGGTAGATTTATTTGAAAAACGGTATGTAGTTTGGTAGATTATTAGTTATTTGATGGTAGATATATTTAGAAAACGAAATGTGGTTTGGTAGATTTATTAGTTATTTGATGGTAAAATTATTTTAAAAAACGATGTCGTTTGGTAGATTTATTAGTCATTTAATGGTAACTTATTTGAAAAATGATATGTGTTTGGTAGATTTATTAGTTATTTATGGTAGATTTATCAGTCGTATATATTTGAATTTTATATATAAATAACAATATTTGTTTATTTTTTTCTGACAGATTATGGGCTTTGCCATGGTGAACAAATCTTTGATGGGATATCCAACACCGATCCGACATGTTTTACTATGAATTGTAGATTTACATTTGGTAGATTTGTTTTGAAATGATGGTAGATTTATTATTAAATTGATGGTATATCTATATTTGAATTTGTAAAAATGATAATTAGATTTTGAATGATAATATTTTTGTTTTCAAATTATATTTGTCGTAAAACATTGATCCAGACATTTCACATTTTTATCACATTTGCTAGTAATGTTATTATTCAATTTAATTTATTTCTTTACTTTCACTATGATGTATATCATAACTGAAATCATTTGACATTGTGATGTTGTAAAAGTTTATGTAAATAGAGTTAAATGTAACAAATATTCAAAAATAAAAATCAAAAGATCATAAGTTAAGAGAGGGTTATTACAAATATGACATATATGTTCAAAGTTAATATGAAAAGCAAAGTTATCTTAGAAAAAAGATATATCATAGAAGAAATATTCATGTTAGAAATTTTTGATCATTGATTATGGCATCTATATCGTAAAGACCAATACTCATCTGTGATCGAATCACAGTTAACCGACATAATCTTAACAAACTCATGCAAAGAAAACGTCAATGGTAACAAAACCAAGTCAAATATAACCATGGAACAAGTCTACCATATGTACGAAACCTGTTTAACATACAACATTCCAAAACAAGTCTACCAAACCGCTGGTTTTTTCGTAGATAGGAGAATATATTTAGGACAAAAAAATAATTTCAATCCAAAAAGTCAAATGTCTGCCAAACATTAACAACTAAGTCTACCTCAAGCATGGAAAATAACTCTACCATAGAAACAAGTCTACCATAAGCACCTCATATGTCTACCAGATCAAGGTTATCTTTGTAAATACCAAACTTAATTAATCTACCACATGATTATTATAAGAAGTCTACCATATGTACAATAACTCTACCAGATTACATAAACTCTACCAAACTGACAAACAAATCTACCAACATTCTGTAAGTCTACTTCATGTAGCAAATAATCTACCACTTACCGGAAGAAATTTTATTTCAATTTAAATCTACCACACAACAAACATATCTACCACAAAACAAATAAATCTACCAACATTTTGTAAATCTACCTCATGTAACAAATAATCTACCACTCACCGGAAAGAATTTTACTTGAATTTAAATTTACCACAAAACAAACATATCTACCACAAAAGCAAAAAATCTACCAACTAAATATAACTCTACCATGAAACAAATATATCTACCGTCACATATTGACAACTTTTTTCACATAAGTCTACTGCTAAAGGACATAAGTCTAACAACTTAGAAATTAAATCTACCTCATTGTCAATAAATCTACCGATAAAGTCAACTATGCGACAAAGTCAACGCTTTCTTTAACAAATCTACCAACACGTTTGACAAGTCTGCCATTCATAACAACAAATCTACCAAAACATAATAAATCTACCTCTCATCATCAAAACTCTACCAAGATAAGTCTACCAACATTTGTAAACTCTACCAACTCTCGAATAAATCTACCATCGACCTAATAACTCTACCGACAAAATTTTTGCGTTGACCAAAATTTGATAAGTCTACTGTCAAAGCCTGGTAGACTTATCAAATTTTCAGCGCTATATTTTGCCTACGTGGCATTAAAAAAGTAATGGCATTTTCGTAATTATGTTTTTTTCAACAAAGGCTAAAAGGGTGTTTTGGGTATGCTAGGTTAGTTTTGTAAAAAAAATAAAAGTGCGTCAAATAAGTAATATAGATACTTTCTAAGGTTAGTGTAGTAATCCTCCCATAATAATTTCTTCTCACGAATAAATAGTGTACTTTGACTAGATTTTAAAAAGTCAAATATTTGCCCCCCTCTCTCACGAGATTTTCATGCTCAACTATAAGACCGTTCGAAAATGACACAACGTCTACAATTATGAATCTTTTTTGTCTTTCCGACACCAGAATTATGAAGTCTTTCTTCAACACATTTATATGTGTTTCAGATTCCCGAAAAATAACGTATTTTACCAAAACTTTTAGTCTTAATTTTTTAGATATATAGCCGCACGCACCATTGTATACAAATCTCACCATTAGTAATGTTACTGAAGAAAACATTCAAATCTAGCACATCAAAATAAGTCTAACATTAACAAAAGTTGACAAAAAATAGTTTACCATTAACCAAAAGACAATAAAAACTCAAATCGAGTAGTTCTTTTTTTTTTGGGTTGCTTTCAGCTAACTACTTGTATTAAATCGAAGAATACAAGAAACAATAAGATTAAAGATTAAGAAAAATTTTATACAAAAAATGTAAAATTGAAGAAGAGAGTATCAAAAATCGGTAAAACTATTTATATGTACTCGTGCCCAAAATACCTGAGATGAAACACTAATTAAAATTTACGAAAATAAAAAAAAAGTACTAGTAAATCATGATAACATAAATAAAATCCATGAATAATTGGATGTAAAAAGGAAAAAAAAATTATTTAATGCGTTCTTTACTTGTTGTGTAAAAAAAGAAGAGATAAATGGGATGTGTGTTTTATAAACAGATCTAAAGCACCAAATCTGACGGTCCATAGAAAGACAAAAAAAAGCTTTAATATCTGTGCCACTAAAAAACTCTCTCAAGTCTCAACACTGAGTCACTGACACTAAAATCAATGGGAGAGGTTTTGTTCTTCAAACTTTTTCAAATTCACATAGCCAAAAACACTATTCTTCTCACTTGATTTCTCCTCTTATTCATCATTGACAGGAAGATAAGAAGAAACCAGAGGAGAAAATGGAGAAGAAAAAAACTGAGGAGCCACAAGTGACATCAGAGGATAAGAAAGAAGAAGAGAAGGAGAAAAAGAAAGAGCCTCAAGAGATTGTTCTTAAGATCTTTATGCATTGTGAGGGTTGTGCTAAAAAAATCCATAGATGTCTTAAAGGTTTTGAAGGTACCACTAATTACTTTCATTTAAGCAATTTGTGCAGTGGATTAATTAACCATATGGTTATAACTTTTGAGGATAATTGAAAATGTAATTAATGTGATAGGAGTGGAGGATGTAACAACTGATTGTAAAACTAGTAAAGTTGTGGTGAAAGGAGAGAAGGCAGATCCATTAAAAGTGTTGCACAGATTGCAAAGAAAGAGTCACCGTCAAGTGGAGCTTCTTTCGCCGATTCCAGAGCCTAAACCGGTTTCTGATGAACCAGAGAAGAAAGAAAAGGAGAAGGCAAAACCTAAACCCAAAAAAGAAGAGGTATTGTAAGATTTTGTAAGATTTTGTAAGATTTGGGGGACTAGATTTGTAATTTGAAGAAAGTAAATTAATTTCTGTGAAATTTAACAATAAAATTTTGTGGGCGCTGAGAAAAATAGGTATTGACAGTGGTGCTGAGAGTTCACATGCATTGTGAAGCATGTGCAATGGAGATCCAAAAGCGAATCATGAGAATGAAAGGTTTGCTTGTATTTATTTTTTCATCTTATTATTCAATTTTGTTTTATTAAAATAATCTCAATTGGGTACGATTCCTATTGAATCTGAGTTTTAGTTCTAATTTGTGGGACTGCACTTAATTGGGACATTATGTTTTGGACTCTTCTGTATGTCATAAAATTGATTCCAGCTTTAAATTGTATGTACTATGTAGGCCCTTTTTTAATTAAAAAAAATAGCAATTTTAAAAGAGCATATGTTTAGTCAATTCTTCATTTAAAAAGGAACTCATTCACCATGTTATAGGTATTATTATATTCATATTTCAAGAAGTTTTCTTTCTTCACAATTATTTTATTTTGAGTATTTCAAGAATACATGAAACGAGTTGGGTTGAATCGAGTCAACTTAAAGTCAACTATTTCTCTGAATAAACACTCTTGTTTTTGTTTTTAGTAATTAGGATTTACATTTCTTATATGAATTTACTATATATATCAACAATACATTGTACAAGTTTTTTTGCTGCAAAGTGTGAGATGTTTGTTAAAATATTTTGGAATGCTACAAATATTTGAATTGACTTGTAAGAACCAGATAAAAATTAATTTTGATTCGACATTTTGTGGATTAATTCTCTGAATATAAAATATACAGTTAGTTTAAATTTTCTTATAGAAAATGAAGTATAAATATGTTATGTATAGGAGTGGAGTCTGTGGAACCAGATTTTAAAGCATCACAAGTGAGCGTGAAAGGAGTTTTTACACCGGAAAAGCTAGTTGAGTACGTTTACAAGAAAATCGGGAAGCACGCCGCAGTTGTTAAGCAAGATCCGCCGCCAAAACTGCCGGAGAAAGAAAAGGAAACGAAAGACAAAGACGAGAAGAAAAAAGAAGAGGAACAACCGAAAGAAGGAAAAGAGGCCAAGGAAGACGGTGGTGGAGGAGCGGCCAAACCAATGGCCGGAGGAGGCGATGCTGCCGCTGAGGAAGGGATCAAATCGGTGGACTTGAAGAAGAACGAATATCAATACCAGCCACCGAGGTATCCCGTGGAGATGTTTACTTATCCACCACAAATATTCAGTGACGAAAACCCCAACGCTTGTACCATTATGTAATAAAACTGTCGGTTTAAGAGGTTGTAGGATTTTTTTTTGTACTCTATTTATATGCCTTATTTTTATTGTAATAGTACTATTTGTGGAATTGTTTTGCTTCAAGCTAATTCGATGATCGTAGTTTCTAATATTGTATAGTATAAAATTACCCTCCATGCAGAGAATTTGCTTTAAGCTAATTAGATGATCCATTAAGATTTAGAGTCTTAGTAACTCTTTATCAAGATTTTGAGAGATTTATGATGACGGTTACGATGGAGAAACGCAAACCTACTCCTTTATATTGTTGTGTTCCACAAGGACAACAACAGAACAATAAACCTTGATCTAGCTCCTAAACGTCTTCATCTTCATCAAATCAGCCAAAGGAGTTGGTTGAATCCAATTCGTACAAAATCAAATTAAGCACACACCCTCTATTCTTAGGGGCGGACGTAGAGCAAGACATTTTAGTGGCACGTGCCTGTCTAAATTTTGTTTCTTGATATAGTCAATCTAAAGTCCGTATAATTATTTTCAAGATAGCGAAAAAAATATCATGTGTCATGGACCTTCTGGAGACTCTCCTTCCTTAAGACATCTCCATGCACACTCTCAAACTTCAAATTTGAAGTTTTTGGTGATTTTTTTCTTTTTTTGGATGAATGTTAAATTTATTTAGACCCGAAAAAACATCTTTTTCTACATATTAGATGCGAGCTTTAATAATAAATTACAAACAAAATCTCATAGTACAAATCGATTTGCAATCTCTGACTAAGGCCTTGAGGCGAGCCAGACTTGAAGACCATCTTCGTATTTGGTGTCACCAAGAAGCTGAATAGAGCTGAAGCGATTTTTAACACCTTTAGCAATGAACTTGATCAAAAGCGTTGCAGCAGAAGGATTGGTGCCATGTCTTCAGTCATTTCTCTCCCTCCAAAGTACGTGAATAGTCATTTGAAAGAGGTACCTGAGAATAAAAGTCTGAAGTCTGTCGTTAAATGGCCTAGAGATGAGTCGGATCACTTCTGACCAGTCGTTTGAGTAGCTCTGTTTGAGTATTCCACGCGCTAGATCACCCCAAACTTGAGACGAAAAGGGGCAGGAGAAAAAAAAATCGGATCGCGTTTCATTTGGATCCTGGCAAAGAACACATGCCGTCGAAACATTGGGGTTCCACATTCGCATACGATTCCCAGTTGCGAGACGATTGTGGGCTGCAAGCCAAGTAATAAAAGCATATTTCGGGCAATTGTGCGAGAACCAAATACCTTTAGACCAGGTAATCTTAGGCGCCTTAGTTCGCATTTGTTCCCGAGTTGCTTTTGTATCAAAAAAAGGTTGATATGTTGCCTCCTTCTTACGCCATAGGAAGATGTCCTATGTATCCACTCTGTATCGCAACTTAGCGTTGTCAATGGCATCTTTGACACTGTTTAATACTGCTATACGGTGCCTGCGACGTCTGTGCGAGAGGAATACTTCCTCCAAAGTGGTTTCCTCTCAAATACCCATGTCCACAATCCCTCTAGCTCCAGTGATTTTAAGCAGAATTCCCATAGGAGACCAAACATCGTGCCAGAATAGTGTTGATCTGCCATTACCAAACTCCACCTTCAGGTATTCAGCGACCTGAGAGCGAGATCTTAAAACTTGATTCCACATCCATGACCCTGGCGAGTTCGCTGTCGGAGCAGGAGTAGTCCAAAGAGATTCATGACGCATAAGGTTGGCTCTAGCCCAATGTACCCAGAGTGAGTTTGCAGTAATAAGCCTCCACGCCAATTTTAGAATGCAGACTTCATTAGCTTCACCAATACTTTTTAAACCCAGACCTCCCTCTTCTTTTGGTTTACATACATCTATCCACGCAATCTTCGCCTTGTGAGGGTTTAGATCAGGTCCAGACCACAAGAAAGCAGAGCATATGCGTTCAAGTTCTGCAATGCAACCAGCTGGTAACCGAAACGCCGAAATCCAAAAATTGGTGATGCTCGCTATAACCAAAGAGAGAAGCTGCAGTCGCCCTGCAAATGATAATGCCCTAGCTGTCCATGAACCAACTCGACTTCGTATGCGATCAATGAGAGGCTCGTAATCGAGAGTTCGCATCTTCTTTGTCAGGAGAGGCAAACCGAGGTATCGTACCAGTAATGATCCAAACTCAAAGGGGAATCTCTGTGCGATATTTGCTCTTGCTGTGTCCGACACCCCCGCCAAGAAAACCGTCGACTTCTCCACACTCACCTTGAGACCCGATACCCTTGCGAAATCACCAAAAACTCCCACAATACCTTCGATCAATCCCAACGAACCATCAGAGAAAACCATAAGATCATCAGCAAAACAAAGGTGGGTTAAGCTTATGGTTGAGCATTTCAGATGAAAACCAAATCTGTTAGATGTGGCCGCCTTATCCAGCATTTTAGACAGCACGTTCATGCATATCACAAACAGATTTGTCAAGAGAGAGCACCCTTATCGCAACCCTCTCGAACTACCAAAGTAACCACACAGTTCACCATTGACTTGAACCGAAAAAGATGCAGAAGAGATACAGAGTTTGATCCAGTGGATAAATTCTGTTGGTAGATGTAGAGCATCTAAAGTAGACAGTAAGAAACCCCATTGAAACGTATCAAATGCCTTGGAGATATGAATCTTCAAAGCACATCTAGGAGATATTATGCTCTTATGATATCATGAAACAAGCTCTGATGCAAGAAGCAAATTCCAATGAGTAACCGGTCTTGCACAAACGCCGATTGATTCGAAGCGACGAATTTCGGTAGAATCTGTTTCAGTCTATTCGCAAGAATCTTGGAAATAACTTTATACAGAACGTTACAGCAGGAGATGGGTCTGAAATCCCTCACTTGTCGTGCCCCTTCCTTCTTTGGTATAAGAGCGAGAATTGTAGAACTGACACCTTTAGGCAAAAATCCTTTGATGAAAAAGGATTAAACTCCGACTACAAAATCATTCCCTATAACTGGCCAACTCTCTTTAAAGAATTCAACCGTGTATCCATCAGGCCCAGGCGACTTGTTAGATGCCATTGCGAAGAGAACCCCTTAATTTCCTCTGCCGTAACCGATTTTATCAGATTCACCCGATCCTCCGTAGAACATTGGAACCCAAGCAACTCTCTCAGATCATCAAAGCTAGTATCCTCTAGATCCTCAGGGACGTAATTCAGAAATTCAAAGAAATGGTTAGCAGCCACTCCCTTGATTTCATCCATCTCCGTGATCAATTCCCCATTCTGCTCAAGCTCACGAATAGCATTCCTAGAAGCTCTGGTTTTCACCGCTCTATGAAAAACTTTGTTATTTCTATTGCCAATGTTGAGCCAGTGAAGCTCCGCTTTTTGAGCCAAGAAGTTTTCCTCTAGCGTTGCATTTTGTTCCCATCGATCAAAAGCCTGAGCTTCATTTTGCTGGTGGATCTCCGACGGGACACTCAAATTCTGCTCCTGCTTGCTACAAAGAGTCGCGAAATCTTCCTTCACCTTACGTGATATATCACTCAACAAGTCACGTGAAATTGTGCGAGCAATGGGCTTCAACAATTTTAATTTTTTCGAGAACCGGAAGAGAGCCGACGTAGAATGAAACAAAGGCGAGGTACTATCCCAATAATCTTTCAAAGCTTCTTTAAACTGAGGGGTTGTTGCGATAACATTTGAGAGCACACAGTATGAGCTTGGAAAGTGATCTAGCCATACATCATTAACCAACAATCTATCCAGCTTTTTGCAAATCAAACCATTTGACCTCTTGTTACACCATGTGAGAAGAGGACCATGAAACCCCATGTCACTAAGTGCACACTCCCGAACCACAGTCTGAACATCCTCCATGCCAGCTGAGTTTATCGAAACCGAGTCAGCTCCCGAATGCTCATCTCTTGATAGAATTTCATTAAAGTCCCCCATAACCATCCACTTCATGCCTCGATATATGGTGAAAGAGAAAAGCTACGAAGATCACTCCACAATGATTTCCTCTCCTCCGAAAAAGTTGATCCATAGATGAAAGAGCAAAGAAATTCGTCAAATCCTTGCAGCTTCACTAGAACAGTGATTATTTGACTCGTCTTATACACAAGCGTTACACGAACCAAATCCTGCCACAAAACCCAAATCCTTCCCAAACGACGATGCTCGTAAATGTTCATTGAAGACCAATTTGGGAACACCTTCATAATAATGCTATCCGCCTTGCACTCTGCTACTCGAGTTTCAACTATACCACCAAACAGAAAATTGTTTTCTCTGCACCAACTATTCAGAACCTTATGTTTTCTTTTTTTGTTAAAACCCCTCAAATTCCAGAAAAATCCTGACATTATTGGGTGGATTTATTTTGACGATTTCAGTTTCTCTTGCCCGTAGCCTGAATGGCAGTCGAAGCAGGAGCAGGTTTTACAAACTTGTGTGTTGATTTAGAACCTCTTGGGAGTGAGATTCTGCTACCAACATTGCCATCATTTGCAGCTTTATCTTCTAGTATGGAAATCTGTTCTGCGTCTGAATTTTTCTCTGTTTCGGTAGTCACATCCTCTGTTTCAACTACGAGAGAACCTGTTTCATCTTTATCCTCTGTCTCTTGACACTCAGCATCAATCAATGCAAGGAAAGCAAACCAGGAGCCCGAGCCCTCAATTTCCTCCACCTCTACAGAGCATTTTGCTTTCCTCGCAGGAGATTTCACTGTCTCCCATTCCTCAATATCCACTGGCTTGTCAACAATGTTCCCTTTGTTCGTTGTTGCCTTTCCTACATCACCTTCCTTTGGACGAGCAGGAACAGAGTCAACAGCGGATTCGGTTCTTGTCTGCGCCGATTTAGTCGGAGTTGCTTTCACAACCGACGCTGGAGATTCAGGAATCACCAACGAATCACTGGAGGCACCATTTTTCTTGGATACAGAATTGCTACTCTTCGCAGGGGATTGGTTCTCTCTTCGCAGAATCACCTTATCGCCTGGAGCAGCTATGCAGTCTGTGGCACAATGACCACATTTGGCACAAGATGTACAGCGTGGGGTAGCCACGGGTATTCATAATAGACAACGGTATCAAGTCCTGCAGAGGACTTGAAAGAGAAAGATTCAGGAAGCTTCTGCTGCAGATTCACTTCCAC